CTGCCCTCTGGGAGGCCCAGAGAGCGACTCCGACTGTCACTCCAATCAGTGCGCACTCGCCCGCCGGGCCGGGCCTGGGCACACGCTGCCCTGCAGGGTGAGGCAGATGGCACTGGAGGGCGGGGCGGGGCCAGCCACTCCGCCTCTCGCCAGGTCGCAGGCCTGTGTGCTGAGCAGGCGAGGATGTAGGGCAGCAGGTCCCTGAGGGGCCTGGCCCCAGCACCCTGATTCAGCCCCCGGCCACTCCAAATAGGCCCGTCACCTGCTCTCCAAGGTCACAGTGACCCAGATAAGGAGGGACCAGAAAACAGGACACACTTGTTTGTAAAGAAAGTGTCCAAACATGCTCCCCGTGGTCAGGAGTGGCAGCATGGGGAGCACCTGGGCGGGCTGGGGGTGGCACTGGGGCCCGCCCTCAGCCCAGAGCCCACCTCCTGCTAGCGTCGGGCCGGCTGCAAACACCCCCAGCTGACTGGCACGTGCACAGGCATGTACATGTGAGTGCCTGTGTGTGCACGCATCTGTGTGTGTGCGCGTGCGTCTCTGTGCGTGCGCGTCTGTGCGTGTGTATAGTGCCACTGTGAACCTGTGCGCGCGCGTGTCTGTGTGTGAGCGTGTCTGTGCGTGTGTATAGTGCCGCTGTGCACCTGTGTGCGCGTGTCTGTGCGTGTGTATAGTGCCGCTGTGCACCTGTGTGCGCGTGTCTGTGCGTGTGTATAGTGCCGCTGTGCACCTGTGTGCGCGTGTCTGTGCGTGTGTATAGTGCCGCTGTGCACCTGTGTGCGCGTGTCTGTGCGTGTGTATAGTGCCGCTGTGCACCTGTGTGCGCGTGTCTGTGCGTGTGTATAGTGCCGCTGTGCACCTGTGTGCGCGTGTCTGTGCGTGTGTATAGTGCCACTGTGCACCTGTGTGTGTGCGTGTCTCTGTGTGTGTGCGTGTCTGTGTGTGCGCGCGTGCGTCTCTGTGTGTGAGCGTGTCTGTGCGTGTGTATAGTGCCACTGTGCACCTGTGTGCGCGTGTCTGTGTGTGGCAACAGCAGATGAGGGTCAGCCCCCTGTGGGAAGCAGCCGAGTGCTGGTGGGGGCAGTGATTCCATCACCAGCACCCGCCCTGTTCCGCACAGCCTGCAGCCTCTTGTGTGTCCTGTGTGTGTCTTAGAGTTGCACGGACACAGCCCTGCCCGCTGAGCACACCGTCCCGTGTTTCCCGCGTCCCTGGTCTGTGGACCATCGTGACTCGTCACACCTGAGGCCTGGCCACGGCAGCCTGAGGTGCGGCCCTGGAGTCATCCCGGCCTCCGCACCTGGGAGCGGCCGTAAGGTGTCCCACCCACCCCACCCGGGTGGTTTGCCATGTTGCTTCCTGGAAGCCTTGGCCGGGGAACAGCGCCCCCACTGTCCGGGCGGAAAACACACCCTCAGCGCAGGCTGGCACTAGGGCGCCCCTGGGGCTGGCTTGGGGACAGGCCTGGGCAGGAGGCCGTTGGTGCCGGTCTCCCCACGGGGCTGTGTTGCGGGGCAGCATGGAGCCCACCCGTGTAAAGTGCGCACAGTCCGCTCAGCGCGTCAGCCGGCCCAGGCTCCTGTCTCTGTGGCTCCCCTTCTGGATGTTGCAGGTCAACGGGGCCGCACGCAGTTGGCCTCTGCTTCTGCTTCTTGCATCAGCACGTGCTCAAGGCTCATCAGGCTGGAGCACGTGGCCCCAAACCCGGAGGCTCCATCTGGAGCCCGGCCCTCTCCCTGGACCAGCAGGCCCTGCGGTGACTGGCTGTCTGAGAGCCGTCAGGGAGGGTAGAGGTCACGGCCAGAGTGTCCCTGTGTGGCCACGCGCCCTGCAGGCCCCCCTTGGTGGAGGTGGTGGCGTTCCCCGATGGCGGACCACAGGCTGCTCTTCTCAGTGGCGCCATGGCCGGGGCTGGGGCACGGGCTGTGGGCGTGGCTTGCTCAGCAGAGGTGGGTCTTCATGAGAGCCCAGTGTTGGGGGCAGCTGGTGTGTCTGGA